TTGTGGATCAACGTGTACCTCCTCCAGAGGAGCCTCAGGGCTCCGTATTGGGGCCATTCCTGTCCAAAATTTGTATAAATGACATAGTTACTGAGTTGTATGTTGACTGTCTTTTACACGCTGATAGTATGACGATCTATAAAATTATTAATTGTTATTCATCTGTAAATTACAATTAAATATAAGCAATAGCAATGCTTTTATGTTTATTCTTAATAATAATCCTATTGCATTTATCTATTTGTTGGGTGATTTTGTTATTGCTATGAGTGTAGTATAATTGTAAAAGATTATTGAGTATGTGTCTGGTATTCTTTCTGTGCAATATCTCTCGTTTAAGTACTAAAGGGGGATTGTTATTGCTATGGACACCAGTTCCTGTTAGGGTCGAGTCCGAAGAAGAGGAAATCGGAAGCAGAGACAACATTGAAGCGGGAAGGGGAAACAGTGAAACTGATTGTGAAACAGGAAGAAATGAGGACGAATACATATCGGCAGGTGAAACAAAACATCCAGATCAATTTACTCAGGAAGAGTTGAATGATTTGATTAGAAAATCACTCCTTTCATTTGTTGCGGAACTAAAGACTCGAAAATCGGTAGTACCAGGAATGAAACCAACTTTTTATAGAGATCGGGAAAATGTATTTCGAAAGTTCTTCACTGAAGAAGGCGGTGTCTCTTTATTGTATTGTAGACATGTTCATGACGGATGAATTCAACCTAACGTTTACAAATCCAGGGAGTGGATATTGTTCAAAGACTACGAAAACATGAGATGCGTTGTGCAGAAAATTAAATATGCAGAGCATAATTTGCACGTTTGTTGCGATTTGTTAATTTGTTAGGTCAACTGTCTGGATTTACTAAGTATTCCTGATTCTTGTGTCTATAGAATGGTCGAGACCGAAGCAATAACTAAGAAGGTTGATGTGAAAAGTATTCAACTCAGGAAAACACAATGTTAAGGAGTAATCTTTGATGGATTCTTCGAAAATATCGTTTTTTCCGCTCTATATAAAACTTAGTTTGATGAAACAATTTGTAATAGCTTTGGATAGAAACAGAGATTGTTTCCAATACTTAACTAGTCAATCAAGAACGACCTTTGTCCACAAATCCGAATAATATTTCATGATGAACATTTCCTAACAACAATCAGAGATAAGAGTTTTCTCAAAGTCGCTCAAAAGTATTTAGGGAACTACAAAAGCCAGGACTGTGATACTATTGTTGCAGAAATGATAAGAAATTACCAACGCTGGGGATGTTTAATGAATGTAAAAATTCATTTCATGAAATCCCACCTGAATCACTTTAATGAAAACTAATAGGCTATTGATTATAGGATTTTAAAAGGAAATATGACGTTCAAGATATTGTATTACATGAATCGTTCAAAGGGTCATTTTAGATGAGAAAACCACGGAGTGCTATTAAATTAGAGGGTGGAAATTGGAAATAGGGGTGAAAATGTTCTCCTTTCAGTTTTTTAATTGTAGCTCGAAAACGAAGCAAAATTTCGCTATAGTTCATACGAAAAATTATTTAGATAATCGAATTTCCCATCGAAATGGCTTATTTAAAAAATGTAATAGGAACATTTTATGCCAAAAATTGTTAATAAACAATTTGAAAAAAATAAAAAATAAGATTTTTAAATTTTTTTGCTGTTTTGACTCTGAATTTGTGAAAATCTTTATTATTAAGAAATAAAACTTTTGAAATAATTTTTTNTACAAAATTTTACATTATCTAGTGTTCGAGTGTTTCCGACTTTTTTTTTCAAAATATTTATACAGGGTCTCATCTAACGAATGTTAAATACGTCAAGGGTATAATCTAGAACAGAAATGGTGGCGATTTAACCAAACTTGCTTCGAAAAATGTCCCAAAAAATGTTACAGGGAGTTAAAGTTACTTTTTTATTTCTTGTTTTCTTCTTAACTCAGAACCTAGTTAACCGATTTGAGCAAAATTTGCTGTTGCTTAGTTTCTCTTCATGAAGTATGCAGTGATTATGTTCCTATTAGGTTAAATCATATAGGGCGTTCATTTTACTACAACCCTTTGTGAATATTCTTCTGTACGTTTAAATTTTTACAGATTGTATGTGGTAGTGACTCTTCTTGGCCTTCTCGCTGTCCGAATTTTAATCCGTTAGACTTTTCCTTTTGGAAGGAATTGTTTACAACTTTGTAATACCTAAAATGGGAGAAGAACTTTGGCATAGAAAAAAGACGCCATACGACAAGTTAGACGAACGTATAATTCGTTTCCAATTCTCAACATAAAAATGTGTCGAAAAGAATGGGGGGCACGTAGAACATTTATTATAAATTAATAGACTTTTTATTACTGCTACCTCTCAGTTTATTATGTTATTTGTGATGTTTATTATGAATACGTAGTTATTTCCAAAAGATATGGGGTATATGTGTTAATAAACATTTTTTGTAATATCTTCATAACCGAGCATAAATTTCTGATAGTTGCATGTAAAAATTTAAACGTACAAAAAAGTTACAGAAGAACAGCCACAGAGGGTTATAGATAGCCTACGGTGTCTCCAGACCAGCCCATTATATATATTATTGTTCAAAATAAACTACAATAATATGGTTTCCTCACTTTAATCTACACCAAGACAGCTTAGAACGTGTTCAAAGACGTTGTATAAAGTTCCTTTGTAATAGGGAGCACGGTGTTTATCTCAATATTGGGTCTAAGCATAATCTACTACAAAGATACAAAGATTTTCGCTATTAAGCTTAGCGGCACTCCGAATTATGTTTGAACAAGAATGTCCTTTCAAATATTATACAATTTAATAAACTGTAGTACCATAGTGTGTTCACTTAACTGATTTTACACGTAATACTCTACTTCGTGCACCTCAACTCATGTTAAAAGGTATGGGGTGTGTTTGCAATTGCAAATTTCACATCCTAGAAGTTGCAAGTTTTGGATCATGTATAACTCGACATTTTAAAATACAACCAAAGCGCAAAATGTCGAAGAACATCTTAAAAGAAAATTTAAAGAGACTGCCATTATTTTATCGAGCGGTAAAAGATTCTTGTTAAACTCTTTGAACTTTGATGGCTTTTGGCCACAAATATTAGTTATCGAAGCAGATAAAAACAGACATAAACTGTCAAAACTAAGGGAACGTTATTCTCAGTAACGAAAATAGATATTGTGTATTACTTACTTGTACGCATTGTTCAGGCAAAACTATTACCACAATAATAACTCTTGATTAATCCTTATGGCGCAGGGATTGGCATCATTAATTTTTTCACGGGTGGAAAATAGCAGCGATAAGAATATCGCTTGTTTGACCTGATCCTGATACAAAGTTTTAGAGTTTCAGAAAAATTCGTATACCATTGAAAATCCTTTTCCATCGCAAAATGTTTTTTATAACAAAGGGTGTTTATATTTCTAATCAACCAAATATCATTCAGATATTCTTAAACGAAAATTAAAAAGGTTTGTTGAAATAAAGTTTTGTTGGAAAGTACTTCGTTTGACTGTGACGTCCTATAAAAGCAGCAAATTTGATGAGGTTATATTTGGCTCCGTCACCCCATTTCGCCCTTAGGATATTCTCATTAGGCTAATGAAAAACTCTTTATAAACATAACGTTTATGGTTTTAATAAATAACATAATTAAGTCAGCGGATTGCTTAAAATAATAATGGAATACATCAGAAGTTCATGTATATTATGCTGCCAAGTTGGTGTGCCAACAATGACTGATAGTCATAGCTAGTCATAGTCATTCAAATATCTCACGCTTCTGAGGGATAGCATGTTGGAATATGGTTTACCTCTAATAACAGATGTTTATCGGCATCACTCTTGTAACCGTTTATGAACACCGCCGATGAAAAGTTCGAGGGCTTGTTTTTGTTTGTGTTCGAGAAATATTTAGAGTACCAAATTGTTATCTCTTCAGGTGTTTAGTTCTATCCAGTGTGTGAAAGGTCATCACTATCTAACTTTTGCAAACGCTTCCTTTTATGGTCATGTTTGGTAAAAACTAAAATGATAGGATAGAGGAACGCACAAGGGAACCGCCCTTGTGAACGGAACAAAACTGAGAGCCCGGGAAGCAACGTCATAATTCAATTGATGAAACAACCATAGCCAAGTGGGTTTTATTATTGTTATTATTGTTTTGACAGAAAAGTAGTGAACAAGTTGCTAGGATTTCGATGGAGACAATGGAGCTAACTAACCTCTGTCTCCCCAGTGTCTCCGACATATACTATGATTTTAGTAGTATATATGTAATTGTTCGATGTACTACTACGCAGTTTATTAAATTAATGGTAGGTGCTGATCCTGATTCAGTTTCTTGTTGTATTTGAATATACATGTTACCAGCGTCTTCAAGAATTGCTGATGTGGATATACTAGAGTCAAGAAATAGACTATTGCTAATCATAAACGAAGATTCTTTAAAACATCAACCCAGTAAGTTCATTCTTTGATCAAGATTTCTTTGATGATGTTGTATGTAACAGAACAGAAAGACTATAGTCGATTCATCTATTAACTGACAAAATCTTAGATATTTATCAAACTGTGTTAAATAGCACAAAAAGATTGCACTTTTTATTTGAAATGTAGCAATTTTTGCAGTGTGTTTTGTGTATTTCGATTAGAATAAAAAACTTTTAATATAATTTTTAAATTTAATGGCACTGCAGACAACAAAATCCTAAGCATATGTACTCTGTACAATATTTGTTGCGACAGAATTCCAAGAATTACTGTAACAATTTACCGGTGTCTTGAAATTTTCCAATGGCTTTCTATCTCGGGTGTCTAATGCGGTTAATTCCAAGAAAGTGACGCAGGGGTCTTCTTGGATTTCTGTCTCAACAAATATCGTACGGACTGTAATTTATATTAAAACCGAAAACGACGCTTAAAATTCTAGTCTTATTGATCTATTTAAAGGGTAATCCTATTCTATTCTACTTACAAATGTCGGATCTCCAAAATAAGTAGTTGAATTTACCTGGAACAAAAGAAGGCTAGGAATAATATTTTATTTACATTTCATATTACATTATATCGAATTTAGTAAAATTTGTATATATAGATAGCATGTTTCAGATGCAAATACAAAAAGGTCGTACTATTCTGAAGCTACTATCATACCATTCTGACCTGAACCCCATCGAACTTGTTTAGGCGCCACTTAAACAACATGGTAACTTCCTTACAGACGAAGTACAATAAATTTTTCGACATACCTATCTATACTCTATTTGGAAATGAAAGAGAGCAATAAAACCCCGAGATAAGAACCGGCCATGGGCGTGGTAATATTTCGTTTCAGGTAATTATCGGGTAACACTAATGCTAACAAAAATGACAGGGATTGGAAAATCGACTATCTACAGACTTTTAAAGGAAACAAAAAATGAACAAGATACTGTAAATCCCCCAAAATCATCTACAGGGAGGTCAAAAGTCGTTATAGA